CAAATCACCCCTGACAGATGGCCATCCAGCCTCTATTTAAAAGCTTCCAAAGAAGGAGCCTCTACCACACTCTGGGGCAGAAAGTTCCACTGCTGAACGGCTCTCGCAGTCAGGAAGCCACATCACATTCCTGGCTCATGTTCAACTTCCTCCCAACGAGGACTCCAAGATCTTTTTCACACGTCCTGCTCTCGAGCCAGGCATCATCGTCCCCCATTCTGTATCTTTGCATTTTGTTTTTTTCTGCCTAAGTGGAGTATCTTGCATTTGTCAATTGGAAATTGCAATAAGAAGAACTTAGGTTTCAAAGTTATTGAAAAGTCCTTCATGACATGAGTCCATTTCTCCATGGCGTCCTAGTCTCTGGAAAAGCAGAAAACAGGCTTGAAATTCCTGGGTGAAACAAAGAGGCCTCCTTGCTTAGAGACTCACCCATCTTGTGGATCTGGCCTTGCCATTACTGGAAATAGGCTCCCCCCATCTCATAGCTCTGACCTTGCCCATTACTGGAAGTACCGAGCCAGCAGCTGTCCCTCCTTATCGCTTTCCCATCCTTTAAGGACTCTATCTTCTTCCCTTGACCTTAATGTTGGACGTCTTGCAGGTGCAAATGCTGCATTCCCATGGGAAGGTGTGGGGCAGGTGGACCAAGTTCCTGGGGACATAAAAACCCAGCCTGGAAAGTGCAGAACCTTAGACTACACTTCCTTTCAGAGGTGAGAACAATTCCCTTTGGTGTATCCACCATTCTTCCCTTTGGCAATAAAATAACTTTTGGATGGGGTGGAATGTGTTTGCATAGGTTGTTAGTTCTCATTACGACAATGCTAAGCAAATGGGTTGTTGTGGGTTTTTTCGGGCTATATGGCCATGTTCTAGAGGCATTCTCTCCTGCCGTTTCACCTGCATCTATGGCAAGCATCCTCAGAGGTTGTGAGGTCTGTTGGAACTAGGAAAAAGGGTTTATATATCTGTGGAATGACCAGGGTGAGACAAAGGACTCCTGTCTGCTGGAGCTAGGTGTGAATGTTTCAACTGACCACCTTGATTAGCATATAATGGCCTGACTGTGCCTGGAGCAATCTTTTGTTGAGAGGTGATTAGATGTCCTTGTTTGTTTCCTCTCTGTTGTTGTGCTGTTGTAATTTTAGAGTTTTTTAATAGTGGTAGCCAGATTTTGTTCATTTTCATGGTTTCCTCCTTTCTGTTGAAATTGTCCACACGCTTGTGTATTTCAATGGCTTCTCTGTGTAGTCTGACATGGTGGTTATGAGAGTGGTCTAGCATTCATACTTAGCTCCAGCAGACAAAAGTCCTTTGTCCTACCCTGGTCTTTCCACAGATATATAAACCCATTGTCCTAGTTCCAACAGACCTCACAACCTCTGAGGATGCTTGCCATAGATGCAGGCAAAACGTCAGGAGAGAATGCCTCTAGACCATGGCCATATAGCCCAAAAAATCCTACAAAAACCCAGTGATTCCAGCCATGAAAGCCTTCAACAAAACAATGCTAAGCAAGCTTGCTAAGGCGCATCTCCACTGTAGAGTTAAATGCAGTTTGATACTACTTGGACTGCCATGGCTCAATGCTATAGAATCCTGGGAGTTGTAGTTTGGTAATGCACCAGTGCTCTTGGTCGTGCCAGTCAAAGTGGTGTCAAAATGCATTCATTCTACAATATAGATGCACCAAAAACATTAGGGGGAAAGAGGAGATGATGATGATAAATGATCGCTCTGTAATAGAGGCCAAAGTAGAGACCAGTCGTGTTAATGCAGGTCTACTCATTTGTGTTTAATGGCATATGTGTGACTTTAAAATGGTGAGAATCTAATGCGTTCCTGTCAAATTATTTAGAAGGGTTTTGCTTTGGAAGAGTGGAGAAACAGGGAGTGGGGTGCTAGAAGGAGAAGAAGGATGAGGATGAAGAAGTGGAGGATAAAAAGGTTAAAAAAAAGAGGAAAGAAGGAGTGAGAAGATCAAGGTTGCTATGAAAACTGCAGGGGAGAGAGGGAAGACAACTGGGAGAGGTGGGGAGAATCAGAGAATCAAAAGAGACCACTTGGGCCATCTAGTCCAGGCATGGGCAAACTTCGGCCCTCCAAGTATTTTGGACCTCAACTCCCAGAAATCCCAACCAGGTCACTGGTTCTTAAGAATGGTAGGAGCTGAAGTCCAAAACACCTAGAATCCTAGAATCCTAGAGTTGGAAGAAACCTCTTGGGCCATCCAGTCCAACCCCATTCTGCCAAGAAGCAGGAATATTGCATTCAAAGCATCCCTGACAGGTGGCCATCCAGCCTCTGTTTCAATGCTTTGAAAGAAGGAGTCTCCACCATGCTCCAGGGCAGAGAGTTCCACTGCTGAACAGTTCTCACAGTCAGGAAGTTCTTCCTCATGTTCAGGTGGAATCTCCTTTCTTGTAGTTTGAAGCCATGGCCCCATTGCATCCTAGTCTCCAGGGCAGAAGAAAACAAGCTTGCTCCCTCCTCCTCCCTGTGGCTTCCTCTCACATATTTATACATGGCTCTCATCATATCTCCTCTCAGGCTTCTCGTCTTCAGGCTAAACATGCCCAGCTCTTTAAGCCGCTCCTCATATGGCTTGTTCTCCAGACCCTTGATCATTTTAGTCACCCTCCTCTGGACACATTTCACTCTTGGAAGGTCCCTGCGTGCAGCTTAATCCCAGCGTCCAAATGATGTGGGCTCACCTTAATCACAGTGGTTGGGAATCAATCCAAGGTCCTGGTCCTGCTCAACATTGAGGGGATTAATAGCCACTCCCCTCCTTTGCAAGCCATAGCAACCTCAGGGAGAAATGTACATGTACATATCATGTTGTTTCTTGTTCTGAAATATGAGAAAGGACACGTGGAAGTGCATTCATGTATCCAACCTTAACCTTCAGTTCAGTTCTGAAACATAAGAACTGAGTCCAGTATGACATCCTGGTTGGTTTCCTTGGAGGAGAAGACAGTGGGGACTATGTATTGTCGAAGGCTTTCATAGCTGGTTGCTGTAAGTTTTTTCGGGCTATATGGCCATGTTCTAGAGGCATTCTCTCCTGACGTTTCGCCTGCATCTATGGCAAGCATCCAGGCAAGCAGGCAAAACGTCAGGAGACAATGCCTCTAGAACATGGCCATATAGTCCAAAAAAACTTACAGCAATGCAGTGGGGACTTTTCATGCTTGTTGTTCTTTTCCAGAAGAACCAAAGATGGCACCAGTGTTCTACTTTGGGCTCTGCCTCCTGGGCTGCCTGGCCTTTAGCCCCTCCACTGAAGGTAAGCATTGGGGCTTGGACAAAGCACAGGAGAATAAATGCAGTCTGACACTCCTTGGGCTGTCATGGCTCAATCATGTTGTTTGGTGAGTTGCAATTTGGGGAGGGGCAGAAGGCAAAAGACTTCATAAAGAGGGTTCCATAGCATTGAGTCATAGCAAGTCAAGTGGCATCCATCCATTCAATGGTATACATCCCCATAATGATGGGTTAGAGCCAACTATTCAAATAATCACGAACAAATTTGGAATAGGATTAAAAATATCACAAGCCAAATGTATTTGGATAATTATACAAAGATAATAATAAATGATGGAATCACTGGAGAAAAATAACACAAGGCACAAGGCAAGGATGTCCTATGCCTCCCATATTACGTTTGGCAGGGACAAGAGACAGGGCCTTCCCTGTGGTGGCCCCTCGGCTATGGAGTGCCCTCCCTAAGGAGATTAGATTGGTTCCTTCACTCCTAACGTTTCAGAGATAAGTTAAGACATGGTTATATGAGCAAGCGTTTACAAATGCAGAGTAACTGACATAGGAAATGGGATCACTTGACAATGGAATTTGGACAACGTTTCAACTAGGAGATGCTGATGATAATTGATGTTGGTTTTATTGTTTCTATTGTTTTTAATTGTGGTTTTATATTGTTTTATGTGTACTGACTTGTTCTAAACCTCCTTGAGTCACCAATAGGATGAGAAAGGCGGTATACAAGTGTAGTAAGTAAGTAAATAAATAAATATTTTTGTGATGGTTATGGAATTTTTGGCCAATGTAATAAGAGAAGACAATGAATTAGAAGGCATAGGAACAAAGTTAGGAAAAATTAGCTTATTTGCAGATGACACATTGATAACAATTAAGGAGATAATGAAGAAAGTGGAGATAATTAAGAAACATTTAACAGAATTTGAATGGGTGACCAGATTGAAGATATATTGGAATAAATCAGAAGCAATGCTATTTAATTATACTAAGCATGAAAAATAATGAGCTAGAATATGATGGATGGATGGACTGAACTCATGTCTCTGTTTTGGGCTCCTGTAGCATTAAGAAGCGGACATGCCTATTCTTCTTTTCTAAAAGGGATCCGGGGTCTCTTGCAGGGGTCAGGGATCTGTCGTTACCTCGCCCTCGGTCCCCATGTCCTGCTGGAACTCTTTACTACCGAAAAATGTGCTATGAATATCTGAGTGATCTTCTCTCCTGGGAAGATGCTGAGGTATGTGCCAGATTTTAACCCAACAACCCCAGTTAAGCGAACCCAAGGAGGATATTGAATGGTCCAGATCTTTCTAGAAGGGAAAAGAACTCCCAGGCACAGTGATGTTATAAAATCCATACAATTGTGGGTTTGACTTTTACTGATTTCCCCATTTGCTGATTGGATTAAAATGTGCTCTGTTAGTTCTTATTGCGAGTATAGAATGTTTCTTTTGGGATCACCTATCATATACTTGAAGAATTGTCATCAGGTGGGATGATTTAAAGTATCCAGTTCAATTGTATGGAACCATCTGGAGGTATACCAGGGTGGTGCTGTGGTCAACATCTATCAGAGGTTAGCTAAAAATGGCAAATAGAAATGTTTTAAGAACTGAGCCATTGGGTGTTACCAACCAAACTCCAGCAGTTTAACCCATGAGTCCACCTTAGTTGGTACAAGCCAATGGGACTGTGGCCAAGACCTCATTCTGGAACCCTTGGAGATCTAAGGTGACCATTTGCAAGGTAAAGAAGTCACTTATTTGGGCTGAAAGAAGACTTGAATGAAGCCCTTATTTCGTTTGGAGCCTTGCCTCCTGCAACTGGGCTTCCTTTCCTCTTTACTGGGAAGACCGCTTGGGTTTCTGGCAAAGAGACCGAGGATTGAGGGCCTGACCCGGTGAGCCTGCTATCAAACCATATTTTATGTTTTCTCCCTCTCTCCATGCAGGATTACTGCGAGTATTGGCGAGACGGTCACTTAGCTTCCATTCAGTCAAAAGCAGAAGAAAATATTATTTCCAAATACATCAAGAAAACTAACAACCCATCCGGGGTCTGGATTGGTTTCCACGCCACACCTCAATCCTCGGTGAGCAAGAACCACTGGAAGACATTGCGAGGGGGGCCTCCACTTTCATAGAATCATAGAAACATAGAATTCAAGAGTTGAAAGAGACCCCGTGGGCCATCCAGTCCAACCCCTTTCTGCCAAGAAGCATTCAAAACACCCCCAACAGATGGACATCAAGCCTCTGTTTTAAAGCCTCCATAGAAAGAGCTTCCACCATACTCCAGGGAAGAGAGTTCCACTGCTGAACAGCTCTCACAGTCTGGAAGTTCTTCCTCATGTTCAGGTGGAATATCCTTCCTTTCCTGTAGTTTGAAGCCATGGCTCCATTGCATCCTTTTTTTTTTTGATAGAGTTACAAGCTGGGTAGTTGCGGGGAATGCCGTGGATGTAGCGTACCTGGGTTTCAGGAAAGCCTTCTTTGACAAGGTCCCCCATGACCTTCTGGCAAGGAAACTAGTCCAATGTGGGCTAGGCAAAACTACGGTGAGGTGGATCTGTAATTGGTTAAGTGGACGAACACAGAGAGTGCTCACTAATGCTTCCTCTTCATCTTGGAAAGAAGTGACGAGCGGAGTGCCGCAGGGTTCCGTCCTGGGCCCGGTCCTGTTCAACATCTTTATTAACGACTTAGATGAAGGGCTAGAAGGCAGGATCATCAAGTTTGCAGACGACACCAAATTGGTGAGGTGGATCTGGAATTGGTTAAATGGACGAACCCAGAGGGTGATTCTCCCCAAGGCTTCCTCCTCTTCATCCTGGAAAGAAGTGACGAGCAGAGTGCCATCCGCAGGGTTCTGTCCTGGGCCTAGTCCTGATCAGGATCTTTATCAATGACTTAGACCAGTGGTTCTCAACCTCATCTGTGGGTCCCCATATGTTTTGGCCTACAACTCCCAGAAATCTCAGCCAGTTTACCAACTGCTAGGGTTTCTGGGAGTTGAAGGCCAAAACATCTGGGGAACCACAGATTGAGAACCACTGACTTAGATGAAGGGTTAGAAGGCATGATCATCAAGTTTGCAGATGGGACCAAATTGGGAGGGAGAGCAAAGACTCCAGAGGACAGGAGCAGGATTCAAAGGGATCTCAACAGATTAGAGAGATGACTGGCCAAAACTAACAAAATGAAGTTCAACGGGGACAAATGCAAGATACTCCACTTTGGCAGGAAAAACGAAATGCAAAGGTATAGAATGGGGGATGCCTGGCTCGAGAGCAGTACGTGTGAAAAAGATCTTGGAGTCCTCGTGGACAACAAGTTAAACATGAGCCAACAATGTGATGTGGCGGCAAAAATAGCCAATGGGATTTTGGCCTGCATCAAGAGGAGCCTAGTGTCTAGATCTAGGGAAGTCATGCTCCCCATGCTCTATTCTCCTTTGGTTAGACCACACCTGGAATATTGTGTCCAATTCTGGGCATCACAATTGAAGAGAGATTGACAAGCTGGAATGTGTCCAGAGAAAGGTGACCAAAATGATCAAGGGCCTAGAAAACAAGCCCTATGAGGAGCGGCTTAAGGAGCTGGGAATATTTAGCCTGAAGAAGAGAAGGCTGAGAGGAGACAGGAAAGCCATGTAGAAATATGTGAGATGAAGCCACAGGGAGGAGGGAAAAAGCTTGTTCTCTGCTTCCCTGGAGACTAGGACGCAATGGAGCAATGGCTTCAAACTACAAGAGAGGAGATTCCATCTGAACACAAGGAAGAACTTCCTGACTATGAGAGCCGTTCAGCAGTGGAACTCTCTGCCCCGGAGTGTGGTGGAGGCTCCTTCTTTGGAAGCTTTCAAACAGAGGCTGGATGGCCATCTGTCAGGGGTGATTTGACTGCAATATTCTTGCTTCTTGGCAGAATGGGGTTGGACTGGATGGCCCGGGAGGTCTCTTCCAACTCTTTGCTTCTATGATTCTATGAATGGAAACCTCTTACTCCCTCTGCTGACTTTGAGCCCCCCTCCATTCATTAAAACGTGCTTTTCTCTCTGCCACTGAATGCACAAAAGGTCAAGTGGGAATGGACTGACGGCTTGGCATACCCTCCTGGATCTGCACTTTGGGACGGCAGGAAACCCAGCACCAGCACATCCAACCAGTGCATTGCACTCGTCAATATGCAGCAGCCAACAGGTGCGTATAGAGGCAATTGCCAGGCAAATTCCTAGCTTGGGGACTCGGCGGTGCCCAGGTTATTTGAGAAAGGCATTGTTTGTCTGTGATCCAAATTGAACCTAGATCCAATGTCAGCTGAGTTGAGTGGGTGTGGGTTAACTACAACTCCCGTATGAAAGTCCCATCATTCATAGCCCCTCCCCCCTCCAAACTGCACCAGGATGTAGAGTGGGTCATGGGGGCTCTATGTGCCAAGTTTGGTCTCGATCAGTTGTTGGTGTGTGTGTCACAGTGGTCTCAGGAAGTGAGTGAAGGTACTGCAAGTCCCACGCATGATCCATGGTCCATCATCCCATAAGCCACAGCAGGATGTACATTGGGTTATGTGGGCTCTGTATGCCAAGTTTGAGCTTGATCAGTCATTGGTGTGGGTAGGAATGGTCTCAAGAAGTGAGTGAAGATACTGCAGTTCCCATCAATTCCTGGGAGTAGAGAAACTCTCTGCTGCTTGGTTAGGACATCATGAGTTGTGAGGGGGAAGCAACAAATTGGGGGTATGAGGGCATTTTTATCATTGTATTGTCGAAGGCTTTCATGGCCGGAATCACTGGGTTGTTGTAGGTTTTTTCGAGCTATATGGCCATGTTCTAGAGGCATTTTCTCCTGACATTTTGCCTGCATCTATGGCAAGCATCCTCAGAGGTAGTGAGGTCTGTTGGAACTAGGCAAAAGAGTTTATATATCTGTGGAATGGCCAGGGTGGGACAAAGGACTCTTGTCTGCTGGAGCTGGGTGTGAATGTTTCAACTGACCACCTTGATTAGCATTTGATGGCCTGGCAGTGCCTGGGGCAAACTTTTGTTGAGAGGTGATTAGATGTCCCTGATTGTTTCCTCTCTGTTGTTGTGCTGTTGTAATTTTAGAGTTTTTTTAATACTGGTAGCTGGATTTTGTTCCTTTTCATGGTTTCCTCCTTTCTGTTGCAATTGTCCACATGCTTGTGGATTTCAATGGCTTCTCTGGGTAATCTGACATGATGGTTGTTGGAATGTTGCTAATTAAGGTTGTCAGTTGAAACATTCACACCTAGCTCCAACAGACAATAGTCCTTTGTCCCACCCTGGTCATTACACAGATATATAAACCCTTTTTCCTAGTTCCAACAGACCTCACTACCTCTGAGGATGCTTGTCATAGATGCAGGCGAAATGTCAGGAGAGAATGCCTCTAGAACATGGCCATAGAGCCCGAAAAAACCTACAGCAACCCATTTTTATCATTGTCCCCTCTTTTGTCCCTTTGCTTTACAGTTCCTGTCAGGTGGTCACAGCAAAACTGCTACAGCTTATATCCATACGTGTGCAAGTTCTCAGCAGCAAACTAGGCCTCAACAACACTTGAGTCATGAAGAGAGGACGTCCTTTGAGATCCAGGGAAAGAAGGCTGCCTCTAGCAACACTGCAAATTTCCCAAACTTCTTCAGCATCAAGAAGCGACCAGGCCCTTCTCCTGTTCCTGGGGGTCTCTCTCAAAACCCAATTGCAATATTCTTTTCTTCCCATGTATTGCCCAATGTCTGTACCTTTCCCTACTTTTGATTCCTCCCACTCTATAATCCCAGTTTGCTTTGTCAATCCTGCTCAAAGAAGGTGAATCCCAGCCTGCTCTTCCTTCCATGGCAAAAGGTGTGCCTCTCCAGAGCCCCCTCCTTGCTTTGGCATGGAACAAACCTCCGGGCTCAGAGCAAACCTCTTCTAATGAAGGACATCCTCCCCTGGCAGAATCTATAGTTTTCCATGTGGGACATGAAGATGAGAAAAAAGCCAACGAACCACATGGGTGGGTTGGGTTGGGGTGTTGGCCTCTGCCAGGCTTTTGTCTTCCTTGCTGTTCCTCTTCCCCTGAGATAATAATAAATCCTTTTCTGAGCATACATCTCTGAGAATATCTCCTTGGTTTCCATCCAGACACCTTTGGGTTGGCATCTCAAAGAATGCTATAATAATAATAATAATAATAATAATAATAATAATAATAATGCTATTTTCCCATCTTCTGAAAACTGGCAGGATGTTTTTCTCTGCAAGCTGTTTCAACCAACTACGCACAGTTTATTTATTTATTTATTTATTTACTCCATTTGTATACCGCATATATCAGCCTAAAGCGGCGACTCTATGTGGTTTACAGTAAAAACAACACTAAACAATGTATAAGACACACAATACAAACAACACATAATCATCAACGCCACACTTAGAATCAGAATACCGATCTCATAATCCATTTCCATTCCTTGTCCAATGCCGTCATTATTGAATTGGTTGTTACTGCATAGACTATCCGAATGCCAGTTTGGCCCCATTTGAATTGCCTTGACTTGATGCTGTGAAATCCTGGGAGTTGTAGTATGGTGTGTTGGTTATTTGACCTCAGCGGGTCTGCTAAGAGGCACAAAACAAATAAAGCGTATTGCCTTCTATAATGGAAATAAAGGGTCAAAGCTTGGGCAGGGTGGTCAAACAATCCCACCACTGCCACCAGTATAATAAAAATAAAGGGTCCAAACGTTGACCTTTCTGACTTTGGCAGGGGGGAAGACTTTTCAATCCCACCACTGACACCCAGTGTAAAATAATTAGCAGCTGACCATAGGTTAAAGTTATCATTGACCGATGTTTTTGGTAGATATGACTGCCACCACCTCAGCTTTATTGGTGTGAGGAACCAAAAGGTGTGAGTGCGTTGTAGGTAAATTGTGTTTGCCCTTGGTTTTGCTGGAACTGCTTCTTTACTGGCTGACTGGACTTTAAAAGTGCTTGACAGACTTAGTTCTGAGGAGATTTACAGACTGAAGCTGACACCAGTTAACAGTGAACTAGAAAAGGTTTATTTAACTTTAAACAAATATCTACTCATAGAATGAGTGGTACAGCAGCTTGATTCAGTTGTTGAGGCTTGGTATATTTAAACAATTAGTTTCACTGACAGCAAAGCTTTTAATACTGTGAGTTCCCTTAAACACACTGCTCTATTCTTAGAAACAGTATCTATTGAAGAACAGACCCCTATCTGTTTCACACACAGGGCAATAAGCTCCGCTATACTGTCCCTAGTATAAGGAGACAAATCTTTCTTTTACTGGCCCTAACAACACAGTAAAAATCCTAGCCTTTGTCTCAGCCTATTCCCTAAACTTAAGGCTCACTAAAAGCTCTTCTTCTCTGTCAGAACCCTATTCTAGCTTCCTCTCCTAAAAATCCCTTCCTTCTGTGTCTGATGTCAAGACACTTCTCTCCCTGTCAAAAGCTGACAGCCTCTTTCCCTCTCTCAACCGACTCCACCCCTAATTGCTCTGACCAATCAGGAGTCGGCTTGACTCCTCCTCCTGCTTCTGCCTGTCTTTCAAGATGACAGCTACTGATACTCAGGCTCCGGCCTGGTCGCCTAAAAGGTAGATTTCACTACACCTCCATTCAGCTCCAAAGCACGGAGCGGCACTTAAAGATTTATTGCTATTTCTAGAAACTACAAAACCTATATTTTTTATTATTATTTTATTTAAAAGTTTTGTATACCGGCCTTCTCACCTCTCTTGAGGGACTCAGACCGGTTTCCAACCATAATATCACATACAGTTAATAAAAACATAATAATTCATTTTACACTAAAACATTAAAACAGCAATTACATTCAATAACTGCAATGGTCAGTCGTCACACTAACTCATTGTTCATCATCCTCCATCCATATCTGGCTCAGTTGTCGAATGCCTGTCTCCATAACCAAATCTTCACCTGTTTCCTGAATGTCAGGATAGACGGGGCAGTTCTGATCTCCTGTGGGAGAGAGTTCCAGAGTCGAGGGGCCACCACTGAGAAGGCCCTGTTCCTCGTCCCCACCAGGCGTGCTTGCGAGGCCGGTGGGACCGAGAGCAGGGCCTCTCCAGACGATCTTAGTAATCTTGATAGTTCGTAGGGG